AACAATTCAACTTATTTCAACGTATTTAAAACGTTGTTTCCAAATAGTCCTACGAACATCGTTTTCCCCTGCCGTTTTCGAATAGCAAAAATATTTCCCAAACAGCGCGGAGTACTAGGAGACTATGAAAGCGAGGAGGTCAAAAATTTTCCCCACCCGCATTCCTCTGAGGGGGTGCTTTTCCATCAGTGTGAGCTACACACGCACACATTGAAGGTGAAATACCCCTTCAGAGGAATTACACACACACACATTGATGTAGAACACTCCCTCTTTCTGCCCCAACCCCTGTAACCATGGCAACGCTGTGGAACGTTTTACTCCTGCTACATTCTGTGTCCCTAGTCGATTCGACCTCTGCTGACGATTTTGCGACGTTGTCATTGCAACCACTGACCACTGTCCAGTCGGAAAGTCGGAAAAGCTGCCTACAAAATTTTCAGCTTTTCAGATGATGGTTTTATTTATTGGGAACGCTCGCGTAGCGCTCGTCGTAGCAGGAAAAATCGTCGGGCGCAGTTTTCTACGAGCGATCGCGAATACGCTAATACCAGGAGCTCACAATCACGAGGGAGTTTTTATTGAACGCGCCGTAGTAGGCTTTTCCATGTTGATGAAAATCCTAGTTTTGAAGAGAGTTTATTTGTTGAAAAGTTTTTTCATAATAATTAAGATATTTGTACACGATAGCAATAGTTAATTCAATAAGTAAATGAATTCGAACTGGAAATTTAATAATAGTGTAATAGTAGTGTAGACAATAGAAAAGAAAATGTACAGAAAGCAAATAAACTAACACCTACTTAATACAAACAAAAAATAATTTTGTTCAAAACTTTTGCTAAGAGTGTCGTTCTACTGTCACTCGATGTTGAGTTTTCACTTTGTTAATATGTGGTAAACCATTCTTTCACTTGGAACGGGAGCATATTAAAACGCGTTGCCGACTGAATGGACGCAGCGTCGCCGTTACCAAAAAAACATAAAGCAAAAGGAGGTAATTTGGGACACTTTGTTAGACCTTTGCCTAAGTAGTCAAAACCATCACGGAATCTAAATGTTCAAAACCTCTAACATATTTTAGCCTAATAACGAAATGACGCTACAGTACACTGTCACATAAGTATGTGACAAACATAACAGAAATGTGAAAATCAGTTTCGAAAAGTTTTGTTTCACTAAAATATTGATTTCGCTCCTATGAATGAAGGTCTTCAACCAAGTTAGGATTGGGCGGCGGGTGACTGAGGGATGGGGGAAAATCACAGAGGGTGGCACCCTCTGCGTTGGAGAGAGACGGAGGTAACCTCTTTGTCTAGCGTGGAAGCAACGAAAGGCCATGTCCTCGCTTTTCTGTCAGCCTGGTACCAGTTGTTTATGATTAAAGTAACAATTCAGATACAAACTGACGAGGGTAATTTTCCTCTTGAATTGCAAACGCGGGCTTGAATTCCAGAGGGATTTCTAAAGAAAACTTAGTTGTAACAAACAATAAACAAATTGCTAATTATTAGTAATTATTTTCCACGTAGGTAAGTAAGTAAAACCTAAAACGTAAAATGTAATATGATACTTTGTATTGACACATTTAACGAAATCTGAAACGAAACAAAGCCATATGGTGGTGTTATATTTTCGTTATTATAGCTAAACGTATCTACATGCATTAATAATCATAATACATTTTGGTTCCAAATTATTCAGACGTTAATCATGCTGTTAATCATGAAATCTTTCGTGTTAATGTTAATTTTGACTGCAACATTTGCCGAACAAATCAATAAAAAGAAGGACATCGAAAAAAAGCCTTTGTGTGAAAGAATCGATGTTCATGGGAAGCCTCACGTGGAGTTAACGGTAATAAATGGGGTAAATCGACCATACCAACTGTCTTATTACAAGACACAAGCACACGGCGACTTAGTCTACTTCAGCTACAACGTTGGACGGCAAAATGAAAGCTCCTTCAAGATTGGTTACGTACTAGAAAATGGGTATGTACCAACACCGGTATCGGCCGTAAAAGACGGCTTCGCAACAGCAATCAATTATGCAGACCACGTCATTTATTTAGGAGGAAGTGAGGGAATCTACGTTCAAGATCTCAAGCTCCGTGGACAATCTGAACCTCATTTGCTCATTCCGAAAAGAGATATTTGGGACCTCTTCTTCAAGGATCACCTGTATTTCATAGAGTTTCCATCAAGAAGGTTGTACAAGGTCTATGCTCATAATAAAACAGAATCGGTACAGTCACACATTCATGAGAAATTATACCATTTTGTGATCGACGGCGATGGAGATACTTTCTTAAGTAATAAGTCAGGGTTATACATGATAAGGAAAGACACACACCATCGCGTTCATATAACAGGAGCAAAAGTTTTCCGCGCCTTCGAGGTGAATAGGAAAGGTGTGGCTTATTTCTGTGGAAAGAACAAGATTTATGTCGCCGATAAAGAAAAGCATTCACTCGTAGAAATTGCTTCTATAAAGAATATTTTTGGATTGACGTTTGATTACGACGATAACATGTACTTTTCTGATCCACATAGGATTGTGAAATTGTTACCTAATAATTGTACCTCTAGTGTTGAGCACAATAAGACACCGAAATAGAAATTACAATAGAAAAGCATTCTAACATATCCAATTAAAATGTACAAGTAATTAATAAACAGTTTTTATTAAACGATGCATTGTATCATTATTTTAGCAACGAGCACGTCTTTTAATTTTGAAAATTTGAGTTCAAACTACCCTATGTGTTCTTTTCGGCCAAATGCGTGTCGTGCCACGCGCAATGTAGGGTTCCGTAGTTGCCCATTTACTTCATCTTAGTCATTATGAATGTTTTCTTCTAAAAAAAATTTATTATACGTCTAGCGTATAAAGGTTCGGCGTTCGTCAAACATCAGCGAGACTTCAGATAATATGCTTCAGTAGGTACGGCTAGCACGAAAAACTTTCGAGTTCAAATCGTTTGCGTACTCGAATCGCCATCAAAAGATTTAGTAAGAAAACTACAACAGCGCCCTTGTGAACGTGTCGTAAAGTGAACTTAATATGAGATGTGGTTGCACGAAACTTATTTTGAGAATCAAAATTGTCACGTTATCGTTTAATTCGAAGATTGCGTATCGAATTTTATCGAGTACGCAAACGATTCGAAGACGAAAGTTGTTCATGCTAGAAGTACAGATTTGTATGCTCTGTCACATCATATTATGTCGATGCCACCCCTCCCGTGCCGCTTCCACTGTACCTCTGGCATTGACTGGGTTAAAAGCGATAGACCTATGTAGGTATAGGTAAGGATTTTTTTTTTATATTTTTGTCTTAATTTTAAATATATTTTTTACAATGTAAATTACAAAAGAAAAAGTTATAAAAATACATTATAAAAAAAATCACTTAAAACTAGTTTATCCGCCGGCAGCGGAGCAAGGCCCAAGCTACCGGTGATAGATAGGGTCACAGGCTGAGGAACCTTCGAACAATGCGTGCCGTGCCGGTGATCCTCACACCGCCTTTTGCATCTGACCCTTGAGCCAACCATCCAGCGAGAGCTTCTTTAGATGTTGGTCGAAGCTCTTCGCTATTAGCCCGTTTGCCGAGACAACTATCGGGACAATGATCGTCGAGTCAACATCCCACATACGACTACCTATTAATGTTATTAATTAACTGATCTATCTTAACCGTAATAGCATTTTTCCTGCTTTCGAGCACCATGGGAGAAGCACAAAATAACAGAGTTGTATACCAGTAATTGCGTGTACATAGCCAAGTGCGTGTCGTGCCACGCGCAGTGTAGGGTTCCGTAGTTGTCCGTCGTTAATACGATATATTTCAGAAGCAAGCAATTACTTCATCTAAAGTCACTTTTAATATTTTCTTCTAAGTAATTTTCACTAGTTAAGAAATTGTATAATACATGAGTTAACTAAATGACTATTACAGTAGGCGCACACCGTTTTTCGTCGGCCGATAGTTTAGTCGGGCAGTTGATCAGTATGGGCATGTATGGGAGTGCGCACACTACGCCGATTCGATTTGGCCGATTCTTCATATAAATTAAAATCGGGCACAACTATCGGCCAACTAAAAATCAACGGTGTGCGCCTACTCTTATTGCTATTACTCATAAACTAACTGATGTATCTTAACCGCTATAGTTTTCTTTGAAAGTTCATGAAAAGCAGATCCCTAAATAGACAAATAGTCTTAGAAACCCCTAAGCCATTTTAAAAGGCCACACGATGGGGTAGAAGATGAAAAAAAAATTCATCCCCACTTTACATGGTAGGGCTTTAGCTACCCTAAAAAAATTTTGTTATTAAATTCAAAATTTTACTTTACCGTTTTGTCGGCGTGATTAATATACATACCTTCAAAAAATTACAGCTTTCTAGTGCCAATAGTTTCCAAGCAAAACCTCGGACAGGCAGACAGAAATATCGAAACTATAAGGATTCCTTGTCAGGACTACGGAACCCTAAAAATGGTACATTTACGATGTTCGCCTTTAATTGTGTCGATAATTCGATATTGACTGGACCAAGTTGTAACAAATTATAAACAAAAATTCCACCTGAAACGTACTTAAATATATACAGGGGGGAATTTTGTAATGCCACCTGGAGGGAAAGTACTCTTAATATTGTAGATAGACATTTTTTCTCAAAGGAAACATTCCTTTAATTTTGCTTTTCAAAAATAAAGGAATGTTTTCTTTCAGTAAAATTTTCTATCTACAGTATTAAGAGTACTTTCCCTCCAGATGGCTTTACAAAATTCCACCCTGTATAATATGCTTTGTATTGACACATTTAAATGAAATCTGTAACACAAAACGAAACTAACAAAGCCATATGGTGGTGTTATGTTAAGTACCTATTAACGTTTTGATACGTCTGCATTTATTAATCTATCTTTTCACTGCATAATCATAATGCATTTTTGTTCCGAATTATTCAGACGTGTTGTTTCATATTATACCTAAACATGAAATATTTCATATTAATTATAGTTTTGTCTGTAACATTTGCTGAACACATCAATACAACTGAGGACACCGAGAAAAAGGCTTTGCGTGAAGGAATAATCAACGTTCATGGGAAACCTCATATGGAGTTAACGGTAATAGACGGAGTAAATCGACCACACCATCTGTCTTACTACAAGCCACGAATTGTGTCCTTATTTCAAGTAGTGTACTTCAGCTACAACGTTGGGCAGCAAAATGAAAGCACCCCCACGATTGGTTACACCGTGGAACCTGGAAACCCAACTGCAAAGATACATAAAATATCGACCGTAAAAAACGGCTTCGCCACAGCAATCGATTATGCAAACGACATAATTTATTTAGGAGGAAGTGAAGGAATATATACGAACAAAATCTGTGCTCTAACGACAAGGGTGGGCAGTCGTTGAGATGACAGCGCGAAAATCGTCGGCATCCACTAATTATGACCCTTATGTACCACTATATTGACAAAGTTCTCCGTCTTCGTACGCGATATTGGAAATTTGGCATCTACCATCGGCTGATCTGACATTAGGCGTAGTCTGGCTTTGATATTCAATTTTCAACTGTATTACCTTGACAATCAGTTCAAAATTGATTACTAGAAAATTATTTGACAGACGATTTCTACTCTCGACAAATGCATTTGAATTAGCCCACTGATACTGGGTGGTCTATCTGAACCTTATTTGTTTATTCCGAATAGAAATATCTGGGACCTCTTCTTCAAGGATAACCTGTATTTCATAGAGTTTCCATCTAGAAGCTTGTACAAGGTCAGTTCTAATAGTAATCAAGTTGAATTACAGTCACAAATTCATGAGAAGTTATACCAATTTGTGATCGACGGTGATGGAGATACCTTCTTAAGTAATAAGTCAGGGTTATTCATGATAAGGAAAGACACAAACAATCGTATCCACATCAAAGGAGCAAAAGTTTTCCGCGCCTTCAAGGTGAGTAGGAAAGGTGTGGCTTACTTCTGTGGAAAGAACAAGATTTATGTCGCCGATAAAGAAAAGGAATCACTTGTCAAAATTGCTTCTATAAAAAATATTACTGGATTGACGTTTGATTACGACAATAACATGTACTTTTCTGATCCACATAGGATTGCGAAATTGTTACCTAATAATTATACGTCTAGTGTTGAGCACAAGACACCGAATGGAACATCGAAATAGAAATTTCAATAGAAAAATGTACAAGTAATTAATAAACAGTTTTTATTAAAACGAGGCATTATTTTGGCAACGAGCAAGTCTTTTAATTTTAAAAATTTGAGTTGAAACTACCCTATGTGTTCTACACAACATAGTTAAGTAATCAAAAATCGGCCAAGTGCGTGTCGTGCCACGCGCAATGTAGGATTCCGTAGTTGCCCGTTTACTTCATCTTAGTCATTATGAATGTTTTCTTCTAAAAAATTTTTATTAAACGTCTAGCGTGTAACTCGGTCGGTGCCTCAAATATGAGAGCGGCACAGGAGGTTGTTTGTGAGACGTCAAACGTCAGCGATAATAATATGCTTCAGTGGGTCTAGACAAAGTGCAAATTATAATCGCAAACCAGTCGAAAAGTGGTCGAAAAGCCCCTTTTTTGTATGGAGTTTTGACGGATTCGATTTTCGATTCGATCAAAAAGTGCGTTTTGTCTAGGGGGGCAGATTTGTATGCTCATCATATTACGTCGATGCCACCCCTCCCGTGCCGCATGCCGCTTCCATAGCAAAGCAACCTAGCAAAATAATAAAAAAATCGTACATTCGTTTGCCATGTTAGCCTTTAATTGTATCGATATTGACTGGATAAAGTTGTAACAATTATAAACACAAATTCCACCTAAACGTAACTATTAGATATACTTTGTATTGACACATTTAAATGAAATCTGAAACGAAACAAATAAAGCCATATGGTGATGTTATGTTAAGTACCTATTAACGTTTTGATACGTCTACATTTATTAATCAATCTTTTCACTGCATAATCATAAAGCATTTTTGTTCCGAATTATTCAGACGTGTTGTTTCATATTATAAACATGAAATATTTCATATTAATGATAGTTTTGTCTGTAACATTTGCTGAACACATCAATACAACTGAGGACACCGAGAAAAATGCTTTGCGTGAAGGAATAATCAACGTTCATGGGAAACCTCACATGGAGTTAACGGTAATAGACGGAGTAAATCGACCACACCAACTGTCTTATTACAAGCGACGAGCTGCGAAATTATTTCAAGAAGTGTACTTCAGCTACAACGTTGAGCAGCAAAATGAAAGCACCTCCACGATTGGTTACATTGGTTTCCAGGTTCCACGACCTGGAAACCCAACTGCAAGAATACATAAAATATCTTCAGTAAAAAACGGCTTCGCCACAGCAATCGATTATGCAAACAATGTCATTTATTTAGGAGGAAGTGAAGGAATATACGAACAAAATCTCATGCTGGGTGGTCTATCTGAACCTCATTTGTTTATTCCGAATAGAAATATCTGGGACCTCTTCTTCAAAGACAACCTGTATTTCATAGAGTTTCCATCGAGAAGGTTGTACAAGGTTGTACAAGTTAATAATAAAACCGAATCGGTACAGTCACATATTCATGAGAAGTTATACCAATTTGTGATCGACGGTGATGGAGATACCTTCTTAAGTAATAAGTCAGGGTTATTCATGATAAGGAAAGACACAAACAATCGTATCCACATTAAAGGAGCAAAAGCTTTCCGCGCCTTCAAGGTGAGTAGGAAGGGTGTGGCTTATTTCTGTGGAAAGAACAAGATTTATGTCGCCGATAAAGAAAAGGAATCACTTGTCAAAATTGCTTCTATAAAAAATATTACTGGATTGACCTTCGATTACGACAATAACATGTACTTTTCTGATCCACATAGGATTGCGAAATTGTTACCTGTGTAGGCGCAGCTTAGGTACTCTTTTACTTTCATCTGTAACACAACGTTTATGTGATTGGCATATAATCATTATTTTATTTATTTTATCTAAGATTGTATCCCTTGATTGTCACCTGTTGTGTGTTCCTTATTAAATTCGCAATCCTATGTGGATGTACCAATCTTAAGATTGTAAATCCTAAATGAATGGAACACCGAAATAAAAATAAAATTATAATAAAAATAAACTTTTTTAAAAACAAGCTTTTATTCTGAATTTCGAAAGTTTGTATCGCGCATGGAATTTATTCCTCTTTTTCTCTGTTTGCGCTACAAGCTTTCGAAATTCAGAATAAAAGCTTGTTTTTAAAAAAGTTTATTTTTATTATAATTTTATTTTACACTTTTTAGTTATATCTTAATCTCAGGACCCTGGACGTTATCTAACACTAAAGTGCTCGAAAAGACAAATCCAACGAACCCAAACTCGATGAGTTTCCGCCGTTTTGTTTAGGAGTTCCTATGGCCACCTCCCGACTCCATCATCAGACCAGCTCAATGGTACCATAATATTGCATTGTCATCGGACTTACACATGTATGCAAAATTTCAGCTCAATAGGAAACCGGGAAGTGGGTCAATTTTAAGTTGCAAGATTTGACGACAGACACCAGACATGTGAAAGTAATAAAAAGCTTGTAATTACAATAGAATAGCATTAATATTATATAATATATCCAATTAAAATGTACAAGTAATCAATAAACTGTTTATATCGAAAACGCTGCATTGTATCATTATTTTGGCGAGTTTGACGTCATGTTAGGCGTCATAGCGATGCACAGTGCACACATGTATCCCCTAGATACAATTACAATGGACCAGCTCACTACGTGTACCCACACATGCATCCCATCCACCCCTTCAATCATCCTCTTTCCACTCGCTTATGACGTCACTAGGCCACTGAACGGACATTTTGCTATGAGCATGCTTTATGAAAGTACCTACTTGACATAGTGTTTGACTTGTGCTATGAACTTTATGACACGGCAAAAATGCTAAAAATTAAATGTAACCCACCATAGTTATGCGGTTTAATTGGATAAACTGTGTTCAAGGCTTTCTAAATTGTTTTAGGGGATTTTACAGCTACACTCCTACAGCCTAGTAAAAGAGGTTCAGTTGCAATTCATCCAGCTAAGTTAAGCTAAATTATTATCTAAATAAAAAGTAACTAACTTGAAATGTACCTAAGGTATTTAAAAATACATGAAGGTTGTTAACATCTTAAAAACTGTAATATATAGTTAGTTTTGCAAGATGTGTTGAACCAATACAATTGCACTGGCGATTACAATTGCACTGACTATGTCATTTAGAAACATACATATTATTATATGGGAAACAATTTATCGTTTGTTCAAGGTGGGTGAGACAAGGACGTGTCGCGTCACCGCTTTAAACCAATAAATTGTTTTTGAATAAGATTCGGCTATAATCCGATTGTACAGGTGAAACCGGACGAAGCCATATTTCAACGGAGCAATAGGATTTGCTATTTGGCACACAAGGTTTTTCTTATTTCGTTATAGATAATTTGATTTGAAGAACAAATTGGTAGTATTTTGCGTGCGTGCCTTAGAGATATAAAATTCGCAAAATAGCTTAATATTGGCTAGAATATCGTGGTGTTTGGCCCGACCAAACTAAGAATCGGCCGACTAAAAGCCAATAGGTTGCGGGGTGTTCTAAATGCTGTTAGGGCCCCGAGGTAGATACATGTCTGTCAAATAAGTGCTAATTCACTGAATCTTATTATTGTATGTAGGTCAACTTTATTCGTCCAAGAGGTCAACACTAAATAAAATACTAGCTAGATTGATAAACATTTCAAGTTTTATATTTAATATAAAATAAATATGTAAGTATATTAAATTTACTACATTGTCAATATTATAGCTAGTTACAATAAATAAACCTCTTAGGTAGGTGGGGTACTACGTAAATCATCTTTGGCAAATAAAATTACTTTAACTAAGAAAGGTAACTTATTTATTACATAGTTTCCATGTTTAGTTTGACTCGTTTCTTTTTCGTCACATTTACACAACAAGCCCATAATGTGGTCTTTCATCATCCGTCATAGTTCTTTGTTAGTACATACGAATTATTTCTGCAAACAAGACGTTGGTCGCAAACCGAGTCAAAGAACTCTATTTTACTTGGATATTGTGTATTACAATGAAATATACTCATACCTGCTTATTTTCGTACAATCAAATCCAAATTACTGACTCTACCTACAGTTATTAGAAGTAAGGACACTTTAAGAGCAAAATACCTATTCACATCGACATAATAAAACGTTAAAATCAGTAATTTAATAATAATAACAATATCAGTTCACACAAACATTCGCCCAGATGAGTCACTCAATATAAAATCAACATTTACAAAATAACAGACAATAAAATAATACATTACGATAAGTCGCTTTCAGTTTTTAATGTAGGTACTTAATTCTAAAAATAGACGTTTCGCAATTTGGAGATCGTCGTTTTAATTGGTGATTCTTAGAATATTATGACGAACCGATAACATAAGCGAGGAGGCAAGATAGGACTGAGATGACCATAATGCTTTGTATGGGTTTGTCTGCGCTGTTTCCACACACCATTCTTCTAGAAGCCACCGACAGTTTTTTGTTTTGAAGTATGGTGTGGATAGATTCGATTTCCCACCTGGCCAAGGTAACAGGGTCTCGGGAGAAGAGTACGGAGTACAGCTGGGCTGGTCGCCCGTTGCTGGCCTCTTGGCAGAAGCTGAGGACCAAGTGGCCATGCACAGCCTTCAGGACTTGGATAGTACCGCTGAACTGCTGGTAGTTCGATCTGCTGGTTAAAGTTCCTGAAATTAAACAACAATTTCTTAATTGAGCTTTAAATATGTAAACATTGTCGTAGAGAAACAAGTTTTCACCCTAACTAATTATTGTTTCGTTATAATATTATGAAACAAAGACGGTTCGTTGATTCTCCATTACTTAAAAGAAGTTCATTCAAGTGTGAGCATACGATCTTGTTTGTTCTAAAACAAGCAGTTGATTAGCTCATTTACAAATTATGTTAATAAACAGTTTCAGGTTCAACAGTTGGCATCAAATTATTATCTTTTTGTTGCAAAATGTCTCCTGTCGTATCCACATAATACGAGTATATGACAAAATGGAAAGACTTAAGTAGTAACGAAATACAATAAATTGTGCTTATTGTTACCTTATGAAGTTATAACCTTAGAGCACTGCACTAAAGTTCTGGATCGTCACGTATGCAAGCAATCAACAAGCAGTTGTATTCAAATTAAGCAATTTACGACATGAATGCTGGACATCGGACATTCAACGATTAATAGCTTGAGTTGCTATTATAGGAGATGCCCGAATTCGTAAGATGGAAACTTTTCCACTAGGCTAAGTGAGTTAGGTGACAGAAGTTATGGTGGTAAAAACTATGGACAGTAAGTACATATACATAGATCGACTACAAGCACCTCATTGCGTCGACATATATTTGATATGTCCACGACCCGGCCCATATTTAATCTACATGTCCAGTGACTGTGACAACATAGAGCACGCAGTTAAGTGAATTTTCCTCTCTCTTCCTGTGGATATCGTAAGAGGCACAGAAGGAATTATAGTCTTTCCAACCAGTCTGACAAATTAGCGTGGAGAGCGTAGGCTAAATGTTCACTAATGTATACTTAACAAATGTTATGGTCGTGTTCCTACTGTAGAGTGTAGTAGAGTGATGTCATTAGCTTACCGTTCTGTCCATCGTAGACTTGCCAGTACCCAGCAGAGTCATTCTTGAAATACAGCGCGTATTCGATGGTCTGTCCCGCCTCGTCCCACAGAAGTCGGAGGTGCCTGAACTGCTGGCGGAACCTGGCGTTTATGTGCTGGACGTGGAACAACTGGTTCTCAGTTGAAGGCTGGAAAAGACAGGGTATTTATTTAAAAAAAAGTTTGATAAGACATTGTGTTTTATTAAACTATATCTGTCCTATAACTACTCTACCGTGACTCTACTACAAAGCCTACTTACTTACCAAAGGAAAAATAGTTTAACTAATAAATAAGCACTGTTGATGTACACAATATTATTTAACTAGAGTTTAGATTCTTGACTACTTTTTTTTACTTAATTAGTTACATATTTCAAGTTTACCAACCAATGCCACCAATACCTAAATGACACCCATCTCACGCAAGAAAGACACAATGAATACTAACTAGCTACACTTGCTACAAAATACTTAGCTCTAATCGATATAGAAATAGACAACTATTGAGGGTTTTTTTCAATAAGGAAGCTGCGACCTGATAATGTCTGTATTTATATCACCACAATAAGTGACCATGCCTGTCCTTGCAACAATTGCAAGGTTTTATATACATATTGCGATAAGATGCATACAAAAATCAATAATGTAAACATATTTTTTACATTGTATGCCTACTTATTCAACAAATCATTTCCTACATCCGCGTTTAAACTTTGAAGGGTATAGGTATTATTTGCATTATTGCAGTTAAATTGAAATCAATGATCAAAGAATTGAATTCAAGTTGAAAAACAGCCATCATTCAAACAAGAGTCATCTTTATTCACCTCACAGTTATCTTCTAAAATGTAGAGACAATCGTAGTGGATTAAATAGGTCAGACAGTTTGACCTTTAGATGCTCGTGGGTGACTCACGTAGGAGGTTCTGAACCAGAGGTCCACCAATTAAGTACTTATTGGACAAATGTTAATTAACAAAAGTGCTGAGGGCAACTCATCCGAGGGATCTATAAGGACTAACGTACTGAATATCGATGCATTGTTTTTGTGTTCCGTGGAGTGTGAAGTTTTCTTTGTCGTTATAGGTCATTAAGCAATGGGTTGAGTTGATTAGTTGTATTGCTTAATTGGAATGTCGTTTGAGAGTATTTTTCACATAGGTATACTTAATCCTTATAATGTGAGGAAGCATAGATTAGGTTAGTTACCCCTTCGCGAAAATCAAAATAGCAAATCCACGTGAGCGAAACTGCAGGCATAAAAGCTGATAATTGTTTAAAAAAATACCTAATTGTGAAAAAATGAGCAGAATTACTAAACGCGCACTGATAATTTTGCTGTTATCTTGAAATTGAAGTGTTAATTGACATCTCAGGTTTCATACTACGTTTGTGTTAGCACTTTATAATTCAAGGATCAGTGATCACAAAAAACAAACAGGCACCAAGGTGTTTCTTGAAAAACGGCCAAGTGCTTAACATCCTAGAGAGCATTCTGTACATATTCACTAACTATACCGTAGCAATTTCTACAGGTTCTTAAACCAAGTTATTGATATTTGATATTTTTAAAAGTATCTTAGACAATACAAAAAATGGTAAGTAGATTTCTGAAAAGTTAAAATACCTACATAATACTTTCAGTAGGCACATATACCTACCTAGTCTTATAAACTATATACTTCGATAAGGAAGTATCTACCTCACCTTGGGAGCTACGACATGATAATGCTTCTTTGTCGGTCCTTGCAATGTAGAGCTTATTGTGATAAAATGCACACAAAAAACATTAATGTAAATAGTAGCGACAAACGCATATTTTTCACGAATTTTAAGTTATTAAAAAAATAATTTCCTATATATCCGCGTTTAAAACTTTGAGTTATAAATTAATGCAGTTAGAGTTAAAGTGAAAAATGAATGATGATAATTCAAATTTCATAAGTATCATAGTAATCTTAAATAGGAAGTAAATAAATACTAAATGCTTATCATCAATTATTACACATCTGTTTCAAAAAGACTTTCTGGTGCGGTTGTCCTTCTCTCAAAAATGGGATAAAAACTATCCTACTTTTTTTCTATACCAACCAAAATTAATCAAATCGATCCAATATACGGTTCCAGCGTGAAAAGGTAACAGTCAGAATGGAAATATTGGATACGGATAGTATGGAAATAGTTATGGATTTTGGGTGTGCGGAACTTGATGCCAGTGTGAAAGGAAACCAACAGGATGGTGCATTAGGGTCGATATGTCAAAGGATGGGTGAGGGGACTTCCCCGTCAATACGACAATTACTTCATAAACGGCTAAGTGCAGTTAAAATTCGCATAAAGCAACGTGTTGTATCATTCGGCACTGTTATTTTGATTCTCCGAAGAAACAATAACTACTTTAGCAGGTATAAATGTAAATAGACTCCTGCGCAAATGTAAAGTGTCGACAACTGTAAAGTAAACATTGTCAACTGCCAGAATTCTGCACAGGTATTATCAATAACTATGACCGTTAGAGAGCACGATTGTCTTCTACGTTAGATCAATTTCTGCTAATCATTACCGATTTTGGATCTGTGCGGAACTACCTGTAAGTAAGTTTTCTTTTTCAAGATAAATTGCACCAGATTACAGCGCATCGTAGTCGCTATAAGTACCCAAAATATGTGGTGCTTTACTTAGCTCTATATTTAGGTATATGAAAAATGAAATCGGAGAAATATAAAAATTAACATCACGTCTTACTGGGTCATCATCGCCCACACATTAATTAACCACTGACGCTTTTAGACTGACACCCAGACAGGCGAGTTTGTTTATTATTTACTCATAATCTAGAATTCTTAAGTAAGAAAAGCAAGTATCATACATGACCCAGCCAGCCTCGAGAAATCGGGATCCCATCAAAAACAATACTTGTCAAAAAAACCAAGTCTCGCAACTCAGTTGTTCTACGGTAAAAAGTTGTGAGATCCATGTAATACCAAGTCCAGGCCAGGAAATCTTTAACGTTTTACATAAATACAATTGACTTGGCCATCGCACTAAATAATTTAATTTACACGTGTTTTCATGCGATGGCCAAGTCAATATATTTATGTAAAACGTTGAAGATTTCCTGGCCTGGACTTGGTATTACATGGATCTCACAACTTTTTACCGTAGAACAACTGAGTTGCGAGACTTGGTTTTTTTGACAAGTATTGTTTTTGATGGGATCTCATTTCTTTTTGTATTTTGTAGACAGCAGTTATGTATCTAGAAAACTGGACCGAAATTGAAAAATTTTACTCGACTTGGCGGTTGCACTACCGTGCCCCCAAATATTTTAGTTTTTCCTTGATTCATACACCAAACACTACTTATATTCCAAATTTGAAGCTTCTAGGTCTGCTAGAAGTGCCTTAGAGTTTTGATGATCGGTGAGTCAGTGAGTCAGTGAGTCAGTGAGTGACAAAATTAAGTAACTTTGACCCGTTATAATTCTTAAACTACTGGTTCAAATTGAATGAAATTTTAAATATACCGTGTCTTTACAATGCCTGCATAGCTAATGAAAATTCAGCCTTCTAGTTTTATCCACAACGAAGTTACAGGCGGTCGAAAATGGCCTGAATTGCTTCGAGAAAAGGATGGTACGGCCGTGCCGCTTTTTTGCTCGACTTGGTGGGGGCACTGCCGTGCCCCCAGATTTCCATCCTAGGTACTCACTTATCAAACTCTACCATTTCATAAACATTATTGCATTTTGCATCAATAAACTGTAGTTATTACAAAACATATATTTCCGTTGGTAACTATACTCATTTTAAATGATGATTATTGGAAGCTCTTTCTTTCAGTAAACCCGGAAAAGGAGCGTTGCTAATATATTATTATTTCAGTTTCTCGCCAAATCGTGGTGTTTATACAATCTGGCATCAGTATCTGTGGTAATGTCTAGTAAAAGTAGGTACTAGACATTTAAAGTAATTCGCTACGAGAGATGTTTCGAATCTAAATCATAACAATTACAGGCAGGTAGTGTTAAAATATCCTTCCACATTAAAATCTTCCTTACGTATACATACATTCACTTATGTACCAATTTCTATATGTAAGTGTCGCACTGATTACTCGTAATAAGTAAACCTACAATTCTACCAAGAGGTAGATAAGTACCTTACCATTCTAACATCTGTATAAATATAACCTTACTACATAAGGTTAGTGTAAATTTTGTCAGACGCCGCTATATTTTAGTAAAAGTAAATAATCCATATTAGGTATATTACAAAAATAACGTTCATTTTATACTCCCGGTTCTATTTACCAAGCTGAAAAAGTATGCAATGAATACAACAAACATTTGTAAACACCAAGATAAAGTACCTATGTTTTATTGCTATTTACTCATCTTCTTTCATAGACGGCAGAGCATAAAATGCACCATTTCTGTCTCATGTTTGTAATTGGTGAACAATAAACCACTTTTAATTACATACCCCATAAGTAGACCTTGGAAACTCGTCGGCCTCCCATATGGTCGTAACGGGACAACTATTGTACATGGTCACTCCTTCCATCCCTAAGTGCATGTACAGTTGCACCACCTTCCACTTCCCCATAACTTCTCTTATATCCAGGTGGTCGTACTCATGCTCTTGGGCACACGATATGGTAACGTTCCCTTCTGTTGAATTGAACACTTGTATTCCCGATGCAAAAGGGATCCACAGGACTAATAAAGAAGCTAGACGCTCCATTTTCAAAAATATCACATTTCAGTTCGCGTGTAAAATACTTGTTCTTTTTTATTCAAAAGTCGCGCGTGCGTGCGTCTAAATATTGCGCTTAAGTGATCTGACTGGACAGCCGCGGCGGCGCGCGCGCCTGACTCACTGCCTGATGCTATCGCATTTGACCCCACACTTAAGTGCTCGCAGATCTTCCATCAACCTGGGCTGCCAGAAAAAACCCAGATGATTGGAAGAGTCTGTTTGAAAATATCATCCAGTAACTTTTTTTAAAATAATATGGTAGCTAACTTAACTAAAGATTTTCATTTACATGACATCTTGAAGCATCATTAGCGTTACATCGAAATAAAATTGTAGAAAGTTTTTCTTACAAGGTAACCTAATAATATGCGTGGGTAGAGCACTGTGTAGTAATACAATTTAAAGAGACTTCCTCCCAGAACTAATAAATCTGTGTACCTACTGTTTTTTAAATTTCCAGTAGATAAGTACCTAGCGATGTGGAAGTCATTGGGTGAAGCCTATGTTCAGCAGTGGACGTCCTGTGGCTGAAATGATGAAATTACCTAGAATCTCAAAAATTCACATTGGAATAAAAATAAATTCTTCCTATTTATTGTAAAGTCCTGTCAATACTTTTTATTCTAAAGTCTATGGACAAATAGAGCCGGTGCAAGTCACATTGATCAAGATGTGAATGAAGACGGCTAATTGTGATTGTTAACTGAACTCCGAGGCTTAGTAGAGATCTGGGCCAATTTAATAGAGTGGAGGTTAAACGGAATTTTATGAGGACAGAGAAAATAACTACGAAGTAGGTGTTTAAAAAGGAAAAACCGGTTTCAGGTGATGAGACAGAGAGATGATGATGAGATGATGTAGGTTTAGGTACAAATCTTCCAATACTACGGTTTTCAACTTACCCACCGTTCGAATCACTTAATGAATCATTTAATATGTAGGACTAGGTAACTATATTGGTAGAGATTGCTTACCCACCTTTCGAATTGAATCATTAAATATGTACATAGGGTGAATTTAATGTCATAAAGTATTTTTTGTCAGTAAACAGGTAACTTTTATATTTCTTGTGTTAGTCCTCAGAATACAGAACATCTTACACTCTTATCTATGGTCAAAACATTACTTGTTATAGATGACCCACGCTGAACTGTCCCGCCAAACTCAATGACAGGGGGGCGCTACCATCGTTCAACTATATGGTTTCCAACATGGCAAAAATCTGAACCAGCGATCCGGTATTGACGGTGGCGCCCCACTGTCAATGTCATCGACAGGACAGTCCAGTATTTTGGAACTATATTCACGTTACTTTGCATCCTTGCCATATTCACAGACATAAAGGTAGCGAATTAGAAAAATACTACGATTGTTCTATTCAATTGTTCGATAGAACTTATAAAATAAATGGATACTGTTTACCAAATCACTGTGTACGAGTGTAAAAGTGTGCAATAAGAATACTATCTACTAATACCTATCCAATTAGGTATAAATAAATATGTATAGTATGTTCCAGTGTGCTTTAATTATGTTACTACTTACTTACTATAAAATCAGCTCTAGGTATCCAAAAAAAGAGCTATAAAGTAAAGTGTTCTCCTTTCTCTTTCACTATTTTACAAATAGGAACTCTAGTTGAATATTAATGTATTAACTCTATGTCCGCATACATTCAAATCAAAATTCTTTCACTAGGCACATAGAGTTATGCTGATTTTAATTATTCCGTTTCATGAAAGTAAATAATGTACTCACGTGTTCCATAGGCTCTGAAATGTGTATCACGATGCAGGTCTTCGTGTAATCCACCCTAGAGTCCCCTGCTAGATGCTGCACGAACTCCACTCCATACCAAATCCCCATCAGATTGTCCACCAGGATCCCGGTCTGGGGAGACCTGTTCACGCAGTAGTCTCTTATGTCCTTCATAAACGGCATCTCATATGAACTGTATCCTCCATACTCTTGACCGTACCCTGGCGTGCTAACTCCGTACCCTGGCTTATTATAATAACTGTTTGTATTCCCATTGTTTCCTGTATTATAAGTGTTGTAGCTAGGCGTCGAATATCCAGGACTATAGTTAGGGTACCTGGTCACCTCGGGGAAGTTTGACTCACTCCCGTAGTTAGCCTTGTACGGGAACTGTTCGTATAAATTGGATATAGTGGAATACGCTGGGTACTTCCCTGTCGTTTCGCCGTATCGCTGATAGTTCGCGCATTCGACGGTAGAAAAAATGACGATCGCGAGTATTCGATACATTTTTTTTTGTTTTCGCTTTCGATGCGTCGCGTGACAGAGTAGATGCGATGTGTGACTGCTCCGAGATCACTATGAGACTGGGAAGTAAATTAATTAAGCTCAATTTTAATACAGGGCCGGGGCTCGAACCAGCGTAAGTGCTGATTTTACGTTTTAAAGGAATGATATAATCATGCTTATTTATTAAGTATGTTAATTAGGTTAGTATATTTTTATTGTAATTTTGCATATTGAACGGTAAAAATGTTACACCATGGAAGCAATTATGATTCTTAATATCAGTTCCCTGTCCTGGCTTCGACTATTTATCAAAATTATTTAAATTGATAAGACAGACATTATATTATACCTACATACATATAGAGCCCAGGACGTAGAGGTGTTTCAAGTCTGATACAGGTAAAACAATAAACATTAGTGTATTAATCGAAAACATTCCATTAATAATTTAAACATAAATTATTTCATTAAGGGAAACAAAAATGTAAAAACACATTTTTACTTAGGTAGTTTTGCGCCTATGCGTTTCCTCTCTAAGGACGGGAAATAAAGTGGACCAGTATTAAGTTACATGGAGGTGTGCGTTTATTACCTCTTATTACATAGGTGTTTGTATATTTAAAAACATTTGGAAACAACAATAAAAAAATATTAATACAATCTGATATTTTTAAGAATGTATTATATTTTTTTTCATTACAGCTTTTATACTCCCTAAGTATATGTATATGTAATACTTATTTCAATTTGTTTCCTTCTCAAGTTCGCTATATTGAGTTAGCGTTTATTTTTAACGTTAGATCGCCAAATGGCTCGCTCTTTAATAAGTCTCAACTTACTAACCTGCCTTTATACAGACAACTTTTTTATCCTAGTTTCTTTCAGGTTGTTTAATTCTTAACTAACCTTTTATTTAACTAGGTATACTTTTTCGCGCAACTCGATTTATTTTTAAAAACAATGATGGCTTCTTTATACCTAAAAATAAATACGCTGGTTAAAACAGAAACCGCCCACGCCGTCGGATATTAAAAGGAAAATATTCTTCCCTCAGCTCAATTTTACTTCGAAATCCCACTTTATTTCCTTTCAGAGTAAAGCAAAAGCCCGAGACCTAAAGATTCGCATATTCTTTGCGAGAATAAATTTTAATTTAAAGGCATAAATTCGTTGTATTCGAGCGTCTTTGTTTCGACGGAATTAGATGTAGGCGTTTGTTTGGGATTCGCACTGCCTAATATTATATACGTCAGCATAACGGATATTTTTATTTTTGAATAGGATACGTATAGATAGATACATGTCTTCGGTTTTGTCCTTCATTTAATTAATTCATACCCTACTTGTTACCACATTTCTTCCATTTTCTTACGGACCGATGACTGTCACAGTGTTTTATTGAAATGCAATGTAAATTGAGTGTTATTAGATTACCTTTTATAAAATGACTAAAGGAATTTTCGTGAGAAAGTTTTCCTGCACTACAACGGTTATAAATAAATCTACTATACCTAATTACTGGCCCATCTCTAATTTAGGTAGATTGTATGATATTTATTTTATGTGCTCGTGCACTTTAAACAATCTAATTTGTAGTATGTACCTAGTCATATTGTAAACGTGTAGGTCCAGATATCCTCATTAGAATCGTCCTGTTAAGAAGTTTAATACGTGTAATTGATGTAATTTGTACTTAAACTGGTGTTCCTGTCCATCTCACTAGAGACACGACCCGCCTCGAGGGTCATGTCAGGAGTCAGTGGTACGTCCGTCGTAAACAACAGTTGACGTGGGTGCCTCAGAAGTTAATTCACTAATAGTCCACTGACACCTATCTTAGTCAGAATAACCTTAGTTATTTAGGACAAAATAAGCAATTATGTAAGCTTGTAGAAAATTACATCAATCTACCGCTTTTCGTAATTAAAAAACGATTTTATGAAGATTAGTCAAGGTTTAGACTTAATTGAGCTAGGCTAATTGTTTTAAAAAAAGGTTCTTCTAAAAATATAGGTACCTAGGCTACGCAACCTATTCATGTTATAGTAGGAATGTTTAGTTTATAAGCCGCCATAGACTTCTTACTGACTCGAACAGACTTAGGTACGCCCGTATTCACAAACGATGCTTGCTTAAGTGAAACAGCAAATCCAACGCACAGCGTTGAATAGAGCTCGGTGATTGGTTCGTATCGTGTGTCACCCTGTGCGTTAACGCACACGTCACAGTAATGTTTGTAAATACGGGCGTTACCGCAATCATAAAGTAAAGCGCATTTAGCCTGAATCGATACAGCTATGATTTGATTTTGAAACTTATGAAATAGCTTCATATTTCAGTCCTATTCTACTCCAAAAACAATACTTTAAGCTTAAACAATTCGATTTGCTAATTTCGTAGTAGACAAAGAACTCGTAGAAGAAGATTGTTCTGCGAATGTTCTGTTACAAAATGAAAAGTTTAGAATCGCAAAGGTACTCTTACGGGCAATTTTTTTTTTGCAAAAACAAACCGTGTTTGTATCAATTTGTTGAAGCAATTACTGAAGCAACCAGAGCTAATTATTTAATATTTAATAAAGGCATAGTAATAATGTAGTTAGTATTTGTCGAAAATAAAACACATTTTCTCATAATTTCAGAATGTATTGCTACGTTTCAGACATGTACCTACTCAGACATGTAACACTTGAGTCACAACTTTACATGAAAACAGAAACCTAATTCTGAAACGTCGTACTGTGACACAAATAATTGCGTTCTGCCATTCAAATAGGTATGCCTTATCGCCTAAAACTTCATGCATCTTACAAGTATGAAATGAAATTTACAAATGGGTAAGGTGTCTTCACTAGACTGTTATTTAGCACGACTTTAAACCAACAGGAATAGAAAGTGAATTGAAATTAACCTCATTTTGCACTTTGGGGCCGTCCATAAATTACGTCATCGATTTTTTCAGATTTTAGACCCCCCCCCCTACAATCATCCTAGCGTCATTTCTTAATGACCCCCCCCCCTTCTCCCAAAATTGACGTCATTACCAGTTTGACAAAATTAAAACACTTGTAGAATCACTTTTTATTTTTTTTTAATAGATAGAGTGATTCTTAAGGAAGGTTTATATGTATAATACACATAAGTACCACGGGCGAAGCCGGGGCGGGCAGCTAGTATTATATGTAATCAGTAGCGGCGGAAGGGGGGGCGGTGGGGGCGGTCCGCCCCGGGTGCCAAGCATCAGGGGGTGACACAAGTCGCGCAGATTAGTACTCCCTGGCACATCTGCATGGCAAATCTGCGGTCTATGTCATGATACGGGGGGGTGGGGGGTGCGATTGTCTTTCAATCGGTAGGAAACCCCAAAAATCCCCCCCCCCCCCCCCTAATTTAGAATGACGTAATATATGGACGGCCCCTTTGTATGCCTCATTTAATTAATTTAGTCTGTATAAATAGTATAACCTAAATAGGATATAAATAAAATAAAGGTATTGGTAGACTCAAATTGTTCATAATTAGTGGTAGGTACTTTATTTAATTTTAATCATTGTTAACAGAAACTTTTCATCACAACCCTATTAATTCGAGAGTTACCTAGATGATTTTACCTACGTAGGTTTCATTCACAATTAATTTAACATCTGTACAAAAGCTTCAAAATAGCAATACACAACAAAACACGTACTATCGAACTGTGTGCTACACAGCCGGCACAGATAGTTGAATGTCGATACATGGTCGGGAGATCGAAGCTGTAGAATTGGCGCTGCAAGCTGTACCATTCTGTACGGTCCATGCGGGAGGGAGACCGCCTGAGGATGAGAGAGAAGATCCCTCCTGGCCCTATGTCGGAGCAGTGGTTGATGATCATCATGTGCTGGTTCACTTTCAGCACGCGGATGACCTCGGGGTGTTTCGGTGGGTCGTCGGGATACCAGACGTCTGGAAAAAGAAAAACACGATATGAGGCTAAAGGTGAAGCGACACAAATTATTGTATTATCTTCTAGCTTTTGCCCGCAGATTTTCTCTTATTAAACTTTATGCCCTTGGAGAGGGTGAATTTTGGAAAACCCTTAGCGAATGCTACGTCATCAATTCCGTTCGGGATGATTGGAGATGTGTGTTGCTAAACTTTGATTACTAAGGCTTGGGTTGCACCATCTTACTTTAACTTAACAAACGTCAAAGTCTGTCAAACAAATACAAAAAACACCGGTTATCGTTATTTTTACGGTTAACCTCAGGTGGTGCAACTCAGCCTATTTAGGCTGTTGTCAATTAAATGCGTTATTTTCTAACCAATTCCTCTGGCTATCATCTCTTGCTCCCCTGGCCGGCGCTTCTCCGCCACCCACAGGCCAGGGGCATCCGGGGTATAGTTGTATATTTGCTCCATGGTCTGCCCATCTTCGTCCCAAATGATCCTCAGCCTCCTCTCGCTATACATGTCCCTTTTTGCTCTCCTTCGGACCCGAATGTCAAGCCAGGAGCCTGACATAGGCGTATCAGACCAGGGGTTGCTTTTGTACGACTTCCAATCTTCATTTGAGTAATTTCTTCGAAGTAACTGTAACAATAAAGTAGAACATTAAGGCTGGGTTGCACCATCTTACTTTAACTTTGAGAAACGTCAAAAATCTGTCAAACTGCATACAAAAAGCACCTGTTATCGTTATAGTTACGGTAAAAGTAAGGTGGTGCATCTCAGCTTAAGCATTTAAGTATCACAGTCAACTAATAGGCACAGAAGCAAGTTATTGAAAAAATAAAAATAGATACAAGTAACACATCCTCTTATCATTAATAAATTTTAATTGTTATCAATCATTAAATGATTAAAATCACGGAGATTCAGGATCTCCAAAAAAAGTTGCGTGCAAAACGTTTGGTTCGGCATCCCTTCTGTGTCAAGAGAAAAAGAAAATTGCAATGGAAATAAACATAGAGGCATAATCTAAATTGGCTTGTAAGAAAGATTTCCATTTGCCTAATAACCGATTCGATTGATTTACAATCGACAGGCTACACCTACAAATCAACACGTAATCAATAAAAGTACTCACGGACCAATCGAGCCAATCATCTCGACCTTCAGTCGTCGCATCGCTTATGTACAGAGTCACACAGCCGACTTCATTAGGCTTATTTGTCATATCCGGGGTGTGCTGGGCGTATCCCACTCCATACCACACTCCATAAACATCGTCCATAGTCACCCGGTGGGACCACCGGATGCTGTCCCCACAGAAACCACTGACCCCCGCCACCACCAAACTTAATACCAGTGGGAACATGGTGCCACGTGAACTATTGGCCACGATATGGATCAGGCACGGTCTCTACCGCCTGGGCCAATTAAAGAATTGTTACAGATTGTTGTGGACTAATGTATGGCGCAATTGCACTTTACCTCTGTGACTAACAAGGTGACATCCACATGACGTATCCTGTGATCATTCATAATATATACTATAAACCGCATAACATCAAATAAACCGCACCTTCCGCGACGCGAACTTTAACGATTTTCTTCTGACACAATCATGATGCCCCAACAATATTGGTGTTGTTTGAAAGCCCAATAAATATCCTTAAACAAAAACACATTTAATTTCTTAATAAATGATTAAAATATACCATAAATGTTACTTGAAAAAATACCTCACTTTGGGCCCACCTATGGGATCAATTAGACCAATTTTTATGGTTATAAAGCCAAATATTGATCTCACGTGTCCTCTTTAACAGATGGATAGCGATTAATCCCAACTTAACAGTTTTATAGCCATAAAGTTGGCTTTAGCGTAACTACCTATTTTTTGAAGAAGTGACTCTGGATCCTTCTAAAGACACATTTTTGGGGTAAAAACCTTTCCTTTAATGAAATAAAGGTTAGAACTAGGCTTTTAAATGGTGCCAATATTGGTGGGAAGTGGGGATGCATACGTTTGAAAATGCTTGTCGCGGGAGGTGCGATTTATTTGATGTCGAGTGTAGATAGGTATACGAAAGCGCCATACATCGTCAACAAACTTGTAAATAAGGTAGGTAATCTTAAGCAATAAAAAAAGTAGGTATATCAAAATCTATTGAATCGCTAGCTTTTGCCCGCGGCTTCACCCGCGTGAAATTTAGTTTGTCACAGATCGTCATAAATTATAGCCTATAAAATATGTTATCAGAATCAGAGTCAGAATCATCATTTATTTGCTATAAATGTGGTACAGAAGAAAATTATTATTATTCTGGGTTATAAACAATAACACTGTTCATCAAAATCCGTTCAGCAGTTTTTGCGTGAAAGAGTAACAAACATGTTGACATCCAGACATCCAGCCCTCCATACAAGATTTTGCATTTTATAATATAGTAAGATTTGCATTTATAATATTAGTAAGATGCTGTACTCTCACTGTGATATCGTTATAGTTATGCATTGCAATCGAAAAAAGGTTTAAGTGCACAATGAAAATTGGATAGTGGGCTGTATTTGCTGGTAAAATCTATAATCATGGACTTCAGTATATTCTTCTTCCTCGGTCCCTCACTGATGAGGATCGCGACCACGGATATCTAATGTTCCTCCACAGACTGCGGTCATAAGCTGTGTGGACCGCACGATGCAAACTATGAGTATAGTTACTCTCTAGATAAACAATTACGCAACTGGAAAACCCTTATGCACTTTGTAACTTATCATTATTTATGTCATCCCACTAATATAAAATTCCCAGTAATTATGATTATCATAATATGCGTGAAACCAATCACTTTGTTTATTTTCTTCGGAACACGTATGTTTACTTGAATTTATAGGTCATCGGTGCAAAATAAAGGCTATCTACTGTTTATGTATTTGTGCTACCAAAACTGACAAATTGTTTAGGGTTACGCACATAATACATAAGGATCAGGTCATATTTATTAGAAGTGTTTTGCAGTCAAACTCGCCTTATTTACAAAGATACGTAGGTACTTTAGTAAGACATACGAGTACATACGTACTAGTAAAGATTTAAACATATCTTGAACTAGTCGTCGCTTGCCTCTCTAACTGACGTATCTGACATTTTTTTCGAAACTGAGTTATCTACACCATCTTAATCAATTTCGCAAGACGAATCGATCTGTCTAATCGCCTGAAATTTTTCCAAAATGTCAGTTACGTCAGTTAGAGAGGCAAGCGACGTAGTGTGCCCGCAACTTCGTACGCGTGAAAATACTCGTAGTTTGAATAATATTACCCGTTTAATTTGCAACATTTTTCTTTACTGCTCCGCCCCTATCGGCTGTAGGGTGATGTTATTAGCCTAAAGCCTTCCTCGATTAATGGGCTATCCAACACAAAAATATTTATTAAAATCGGACCAGTAGTTTCTGGGATAAAACCAACAAACTCTTCAAGTTTCTAATATTAGTATAGATACTTCAGGAACTGAAAAATATATAGCACGATGTACTTTCGACTCTACAATTGACCTTTGCTCTAACAACTGTTACTTGCCCTACATGCTCGTGAACTTTGACATACTCCAGCGTTATGCAGCCTATCCTTGCTTCTCAGGTCCAAAGGTCACATTCAAATAATGTTCTCACAAAATTACTTCATAAACAACATACATACTGTGTTTTTAATTTATTGGTTTATTGAAAAATCCTTTGCAAAAAATAATACGGTGATAGGTAGGAAACAGTAAGGGCCAAATAAAATATCAAATATAAAAATGTATAGTATAATTAGAGATTCATACATATCGATATTGTAAAACATTCCATACAAAAATATAGATAGGTATACAAAACATCAAAAGTTATAATATCATTATAAAAATTTTGGTCTTATAACATTTAACACACACATGGCACAGAAATAAATAGTCCTTAACTTAATTACTTTACCTATGGATTATTTTTTCCTTTCTTGTTAACTAAAAGTGCTTGCAGACAATAATAATCGTCAATTAAAAAAAAATTTACAACTCTATTTACCAGGTCAAAACTTTGCGCCCTATCATTCTTTCTTAATGATATCAATTAAATACGTGTCTAAAATAATTTAAAATCCAACTTACAAGGAACTACGTCTAAGCACTGATATGGAAGACTACAAACAATCATGAAACTTTTTTATTCCCAGTCAAATTACAATAAGAAAAACGTAATCTCATTTCATATCTACCCTCTAGATCTCCACAGCATCAAACAAAGTGATACAAGAACGAAGTAAGGCCCACTGATGCTGGTTGCGGAGTTCTCACACACTCTCTTCAGAGCTGAAGTAGACAGGTGTTTCATAGTGAACACGTTGTGTATGCTGGCCAGGTCTTCAGCAGTCAGCTGGTTCTCATTCCGGGACAGCACCACGCTGTATAGCTGGGAATGGGGGAGCCTCATACAGAAGTTGAGAACTAGGTGGTTGTTGGCCACTTTCAGCACTTGGATGACTCCGCCGAAGAAGCGGTACATGTCTTCTACGGCTGAAAAAAATAAATGAAAAGCATTAAAAACAGTACAATGCATGAGTGTGAGCGAAATTTATGATAATTGAAACGCCACATACAATATTTCGCCTGTCTCTACTTTTACGATGATGACTTTCCTGACTTAATATATTCATGTTTACCTAACGATACATAAAAACATAATATGAATTTACTACGATAGAGACGATGTTTCGACATGATGTAAAAATCATAAGTTAGACTAGCAGATTTTCGCGACGTTCAAGAAGCAATAAATTCATCAATGGTTTGTAGAGACGGGCGACAATTGGTGTAATTTTCTTATTTACTGGCACATTATAAATTATTTTCAAATTTTATAAAAATCATAAGTTTGTTTTGAGTGAAACATTATATCAGTAGAATACTTAGCATTCATTGCTACGAAAGAACTGTAAACTGTTGCCAATATTTTGTAAAAGAGGACCTATCATTATTATTTGGTAAAAGTAAGTTAATCAAACAAAAAATAATGATATGCAAACTTACACCTATCCGGCACGTCCGTGGGCCAGAAGCCCTTGTGCGAAGTATTGACCTTGATGTGGTAGTCGTCTCTCCACAGCCCCTCGTGCCACTCCAGCACAAAGTGGCGCACGCGGTAGGGCTCCGGGAGACCGAACTGACGGTTCACGTACGGAGAGTTCGTCAACGGAGGGTATGGAGTCGGCGGAGTCGGCTGAAACAAATTGTAAATATAAGAAAACAAAAAAAACATTTGAACAACAAACCTCTTTGTTGATCTCGAAAAAAAACAATTGAAGTTCTAACTAAACAGCACCAAAGAACTCACTAAGTCTCTGTTTATCAAACCACCATGTACATAATCCTCGAACTTCCGAATCTGTATCACAGGACAGTACGGGTTGTATTCAGTTATTGTTCTATTCTCCCTATGAAATATGTATTCGTGTATGTACCACATGCCCAATACGGCTTCTTCGTCGAAATCGTGTATTGGGTTGAAATTCGGACAAAAATCCACTTTGGTGGCGTAGGCTAATGCGATGAGTAACACTAGAAGTGTTAGGGTCATGATTAATGAAAGTTTTGAATTGTGCTTAATTAAATTTGTGTTGAGCGTCCGAAGGCAGGCGGTTAATTAGAGTGTCTCGTGGTGGCTGCTAGGTATCGCCGATGACACCATTAACCCGTTAATTGACGCGGTGAACTCTACGTCCTGTAGGTAGGTTCCCCGCGTATGGGAAAGATGGATTATGCTAATATTCGACGCTGTATTAACAGCAACTTTAGGCATGTATTTCAAATAATAACTCATTTCACCCCGTATATTTTACTCTTGCAATAACCTTTAGTAATTTTATTAGGGATAACAGACAATAGAACTAACAGATTTAACAAAATGTCTGTAACGTTTATCTATACAACCAGCATCGGTATCAACGAAAATAGAACAGCTACTCAAGTCACACACATTTTAAAGAATGTAAATAGTACTTAACGGTAAAGTGATGCAATTTTTTTTTAGTTTATAACAATAAATAATTGTAGATTTATCAGCTTGGAATGTTAATCTAGCTTAGACAAAGGGAAGGAAATAACAATAAATAAATAATTAATTTTGTTGGCTTAGACGTGTTATACATAATTATGCCTACAATCAAGGCCATACGGCAAGCACCGATCAGGCAGGCATTTCTGATCTTACAAGCATTTCCTTCTTTTTTAAGATTTATTTAAACTGTGCTAGTAGCACACACATAACATACATGTACCCACTTTCCATATATTTAACGTATAAATAAATACTTATGACGTAAACAAAATATTTAAGTATAGGTACACTGGTAATTTTAATTTTGTAAATTCAAGTATAAAAAACCGGCCAAGTGCGAGTCGGGCTCGCGCACAAAGGGTTCCGTAGCAGCAACAGTTAAATCAACCTATCTCAAAAACTATAAGAGATACTTTGATCAAACCAAAAATCGTTGAAAGAGTTAATTAGCATGCATCACCTCTATTTTTTTTAGAATTTTATACCCCGTAGTTATAAAAATAGAGGGGGGGGGACATACTTTTTACGACTTTGAGAGCTGATATCTCAAAAACCGTTCACTTTAAGAAAAATGTTTTTTAGAAAACTTTATATCATTTTAAAAGACCTTTCCATTGATACCCCACACGGGTATGTACATCGAAAAAAAATTTTCATCCCTCAGTTACATGTATGGGGGGCCCCACCCCCAATTCTTTTTTTTACTATTTAGTGTCATAATTTTGTAGCGGTTCATACAACACATATTCCCATCAAATTTCATCACTGTAGTACTTATAGTTTCCGAGTAAATCGGCTGTGACAGACGGACAGACGGACAGACGGACAGACGGACATGACGAAACTATAAGGGTTCCGTTTTTGCCATTTTGGCTACGGAACCCTAAAAATGCTTCTACGCCTATCCTAGGAGAAACTGATAAACTTTCTTTCGTGTCTGAATTATTTAAATAAACCATTTGCATTGGAAAGTAGCCAATAACATGTATTAGTACCAGAAAAATTCAATTTACCTCAATGTAAAGTTCCTTTATGTCGATATAGAAACACTCCCTCGTATGCTCTATCTTGTATTCACCTTTCAGGTGAGGTATTTTTTCTACGCCGTACCAAACTCCAGTTATTGAATCTAAGTTAATATCACCGTAATATGGGGACAAGTCGTCACAATACTTGTGATTTTCGAAATAATAGCCGTTTTCACTGTAGCCCGAGGCGAGTCCCACAATCAGAGGTAATAGCAACAGATGGTATTCCATTTTGGTTAAACCGTCCGAGATAACCCGGATATAAACGGATAAACGTTTCGGATAAACTGAACCGGGAGTACCAGGCGACTATACCCGCGAGGAGGTAACGGGCAGATTAACCGGCGGATAGAGTGGAAGCGAACTCTCTCGGACGAGTAGGCGGCCGCCAAATGAACACTCAACTGATGTCTCGCGGATAGGGTTTCTGCTCGAGCTTTCTCGAACTCGAGAAAACTCGAGAAATTTGGCTTCATTCGAGACGAGAAAAAAATTACCGGAGCTCGAGAATTCTCGAGTTTCGATTTTGAAGCTTTAATATTCTTGAAAGCCTATTTTCTTAGACAAAAGTAAGTTTTTAATAATTTAATAGGTTAACGTTGCGTTTAGACTGGCCTAGTCTTTCCTTTTTTTAACTAATTTGATTTGCAAGTAATGATCTTAACCGAAACTAATAATGTTCACCTATGAGTATGCTATATTTTATTATGTTTGTATAACTGACTGATTTAAAGACTGAAAATTTTTTGTTAACTATCTGTTAGTTTAGGTCCTTTAGGTACTCGTAAATACGTTTATTCAAGTCGTTATCTTTAAGTTTAAAAATTTACTTAAAAGTTTTTTTTGTTTGTAAATGTAGGTTTATTATCGTAATTTTTCAATTAATTTGGACTTGTGTTCTTTGGAAAACAAGTGATTCAATTGGAGCTCCAGATATTTATGGTTATTAATCCTTTAAGAACACGCGACTAATGACTTTTTTTCCTTGAGTTAATTACTAAGTTATAATAAATTATCCTACTAATATTCTAAATGCGAAAGTTTGTGTGGATGTCTGGATGTTTGTTACTCTTTCACGCAAAAACTACTGAACGGATTTTGTTGAAACTTTACAGTTTTATTGATTATAACCCAGACACATTATAACATTAATAAAAACCCGTGTTTTTATTAATTTTCAACCGATTTCAACAGTTTTAATTAAAAGACTCGAGACCCGAGAAAACTCGAGACTTTGGTCTCGAGAATTCCCGAAACTCGAGAAAAAAAATAAGTCGAGAAATCAGAAACCCTACTCGCGGACGACACGACCGTGGTAATTTACTCGTTATGCGGGAATACTTCCTTAATAAACATAATCATGTTGACAGCCCCCTGCACTCGAATTGAACACTTGCAGCTCGCTGATTGAAAAAAATATAACGCCCATGCGAATAAACGCAGGCAAACTTTTCATTTTTCTTCGGGCATCGTTTGTCTCTTTCTTTTTCCCTGGGAAAATAAAGTTAAGGCGGGCATTTTTCTCAAGATTTCCCGAATGCCTTCTCAAGTTTCCCCTGGCAAACGCTTTCCTCGGCATACTTAGATACCAGGAGCGCATAAGCTTTAAAAAGTAGGGTGCTAAAAATCAATACTGGGCAATGACGTCACGAGGGGTAGCATCGATCGACCGCCACGCGATTAGTTGTGATGTGTGAAGTTCGGTTCAATATTGATTTTACCAAACTGTTGTTCATACTTACACAGTTTTTATAAGTTACTATAATAGGTTTAGGTAATGAATGAAGACGCGCGGCTATTTCGATATGGAATAATTCTTTGAAAGAAATTTAAAATGTTACGATTAAACTTTTACGAATAGTGATTATAAACGGAAGACCATGTTTGAAAGAAAGAAAGAAAAAATATTTATTTGGTACTAAAATAATGATACACATTGACATTAAAAAATGAAATAATAATAATAAGCTGTAATTGTCGATAAATAAAAGACCCGCCGCGTGCGGCATACTGCGTTTATCACAATCGCAAATAATTCTTTAGACAGATCTTGTGTCTTTAGTCAACAGCTAGCGGCTTACGCCCGTATTCACAAACGATGCTTGCTTAAGGCGATTAGTGTCCTCANTCATTCAGCGTGGGTCATCTATACCCTACAACATGAATGAATGGAATGAGTACATTAGAGTGACTTAATTACGTGCTCTGTGGTAAAAATGCATACGGAATATTTTGAATCTTATTATTTTCTGTGACGCCATTGGTCTTTTGATCAGTTTGAAAATCTTTTATTGGTCGTAAATTTTATCCAAAAAATCCGTGAGCACGGAGAGCCGTGTTTTTAAATTTAGGTCAGTGACTTTCAGTGTTGCCAGAAGGTTACTTTTGTAACCTTTTAGGTTACACTAATGAAAAGGTTACTTTTAGGTGATTTTTCAGAAATTGTAGAATTAACTTTTACGGGTCATTCAGTAAAAAATATTAATAGTGACAATTTAAAAATTATAAACTGCATTTAGACATAAATTTGATGTATTATTTGTTAAAAAAAATGATTTTTTAGCGAATGTTTTTCGATAGTGAAACGCAAATCCATGAAACGTTTTTATACGACCGGTCACTTTTCGGTCTTCATGGAATGGTCAAAATTTCGAATTTAGGTAAACGATTGATGATCAATTGTATTCATTTTCCATCCATGAAACAACCTTACACAATCGCTCCGCACCCCCCCCCCGTATGAAGGTTACTTTTTATTCAAAAAGGTTACATTTTTTTATATTTCTGGTAATTTCTGACAAGACCCGACTGGCAACACTGGTGACTTTACCTACTTTGTTGTTTGTGTTAAGTTATGTAGGTAGTGTGGTGTGGAAATAGAGTTGGTCGTCTTGTAGTAAGTACTCTTTCTTTCTTTCCACACTTCACTCATCGTCATCATAAATGTTAGTGTGTACAAAGCCATAAATTTTATTGTGGATTATTAGGCTGCATTATTGGCTCGTTGTGACAATAATTTAAATTAAATCAATATTTTTATCTTGCCGTAGTCGTCGCACCCACACTGTACCTACTTAAAAGTTTAATGCATTCATCTTGTTTTGTGTCGTGATTCGTGACTTTGTCGATTGTCTATCTAAACCTTGGTGTTTTAGCATTTTTACTCTCCTGCTGACCAAAGGTAATAATGCATTTTAAGTAGGTAGGTAAGTAATTAGTTAGGGTACAGAACAATACCAAATTTAAGTCATTCAAGCCTAATTTCAGCACAGGTAGGTAGGTTGTTAGGAGGACAGATAGGGGGTTTAATTTATTCTAACTGAACCTCTCAGTTATTCCTTTTGTTAAAATTACTTTACTCTTTGTTCCAGACTGTTGATTGAATCTCAGAAGAATCATGTCTTTGTTTGGGGAGATTGGTGAGCCTTCTTCTCGTGCTGATTTTGAAGATTGGGATGGACCTCCATCTGATAAACCAAAGTACAGTCTCATATTTTAACATTAAGTACTCTGCTGTTAATAATTAATTACACAGATAAATTCAAGTTCCCTTATATGCTTATTATTAATTTCAGGTTGCAATGGAAAACAAATTCATTTGTTCGTCCAAAAATTGTTGATGCAGTACTCATATTTGAAGGAGAATATTTGTTTCATTGCATCTTTGCTCAAACAAAAAACAACTTGAAGTTGAAAAACACCGTTGAAGAAATTGGTTTGAGCCTGTATAAGATTATACTAACCAATAATTATGTGTTTGTAGTTCGAGACTATGATATGCCCAGAACTGGCGAAGTTGTCGAATTAATACGTTATTTTCTGAATGAGTCAAAGGAAGTGCTCACTCTGCAAACTAGACCCTTGACTGAGTATCAGTCGCCAAATCCAGTTTGTCAAAGTGTTATAAGAACAGTGTCTACTACCAACGTAAAATCTAATGATCTACTGTACCCAGCATTGGAACAGCCAAATATGTTAACTGGAATCTCAGCTGGAGGTATTGTCACTCATAGTAGTAAGAATTCTTTTATTTCTGTTTTAAATTATTTGTCAATAATTATTTTTGTTTTCAGTAATAAGCCTGAGAGAACACCTGGGTCTTGCTGGTAAAACTATTGTATGCTATGTCTCAAATCCTAGAAGGTGTCTTGAGAATGATGTGCAGATAATGCTTGAAAAACTTGCTATTGGCCCACCCAGCTCACCAAGCAGTATTGATATGGATACAAATCTATACACATAAAATGAATGGTGTTTTGGACAGTGACCAAAAATGTATGGAGCGTGGTCTAAATGTCCACCACTAACGAGACCTTTGTAGTAAAATAGTCTACTAAATACTGATTCATTATAACCAAACTGCAATCAAAAATATGCTGTCAGTAAAAACTTATGACTGAATTAAAAGTCATGTTTTTTAAACCTTTTCAGCCAAAAAATGTTCTTGATATCATTCAATCCATCGCACATTTTGGACTAATCTATGCATGTCGCGTAGTGTGCCGTGTTAAGTTCTCGCTAAAAGAAAAAAAAATAAGCTCAGAAAAAAGACAACAATATTGGAATACTTGCAATAATGCGAAAGGGGTAAAAATAGTCTTATTTCCAACTGGCGCGGGGTTATAGATGAATTATATTACACATTATACTAGCTGTGCCTACGACTTTGTATGCGTGAAAATAGTTTGAATAATATTTCCCAATTTTACAACATTTTTCTTTACTGCTCCGCCCCTATTGGTTTTAGGGTGATGTTATACAGTGTGTCCGGGCTTGTAGTGATCAATCTTTATGGGCGTAATCTATGGACAATTTTATCGATGAAAATATTTCAAATTTGGGGCATGACCCATTTCTCGCAAAATTACGAGGATTTAAGTTTTTAATTTTTAGTTTTCACCTCTTCCTTCAAAAACAAGTGAAAGCGTATTTAGTTTAACACTAATAAGCAAACATTTTATATCATGCGATAGCCAATAAAATTATCTATTAGCAGAAGTAGAAAACAGATACAAGTTTCATACATTTTAAGGGAGTAAGAATGGATTTAATTAGAAAAAAACATGACTTTTTTCACTTCTTTTTCAGTTATTTTCCAACACAAGAAAAACCAGGTCGTTAAGGTATGTTTTATTTGCATTGTATTATTAGTATTTGAGCTATTCTACAAAACGAATGTAAATTTATTAGTGTACGTTTATTAGTTTCGACGTAATTGTTGAACAAAGATACCCCTTCCCAGCGGTTTCCATAGCGCACGCGACATGCGAAAATGCACTGCCTGAAAGAATCACACAACCTATTCCGATTACTATGGAAACCGCTGGGAAGGGGTATCTTTGTTCAACAATTACGTCGAAACTAATAGACGTAGACTAATAAATTTACATTCATTTTGTAGAATAGCTCAAATACTAATAATACAATGCAAATAAAACATACCTTAACGACCTGGTTTTTCTTGTGTTGGAAAATAACTGAAAAAGAAGTGAAAAAAGTCATGTTTTTTTCTAATTAAATCCATTCTTACTCCCTTAAAATGTATGAAACTTGTATCTGTTTTCTACTTTTGCTAAAGGATAATTTTATTGGCTATCGCATGATATAAAATATTTGCTTATTAATGTTAAGCTACCCACGCTTTCACTTGTTTTTGAAGGAAGAGGTGAAAACTAAAAATTAAAAACTAAAATCCTTGTAATTTTGCGATAAATGGGTCAAGCCCCAAATTTGAAGTATTTTTATCGATAAAATTGTCCCTAGATTTCGCCCTTAAAGTTTGATCACTACATGCCCGGACACACTGTATAACCTAAAACCATCCTTGATAATTGGGCTATTCATAAGAAAAAGAATTTTTCAAATCTGATCAGTAGTTCCTGAGATTAGCGCGTAAACTACTACATTTTTTCATACAGTCATAACTTTTTACTGACAGCTTTTTTTCGACCCATACTGAAAGTTAATACCTATTTAATGGACTATAAGCCAATATAGGTCTCATTAGTGGTGGACATTTGGACCACTTTTGGTCATTGTCCTTAAATGGTACCTGAATTAATTTTGTGTCAGAAAATTATAAGTAATCAATAGTTAATTTTATTAATATAGTTATTTAGATATAAATTGTGTTCATTACATTTAAATTTAGATGGTTAATTAATCACTAATCAACTTATTAAGATTTAAGGGTAAACCAGAAACTAACAACACAAATGTTCCTGGTTATTTAGTGGTAACAATTATTTCAATATAATAAAAATTATAAAGTATTAGTTTTAACAACCGAAATACCTGATGCTTAGGACTGATTTTGAGATAACTAATACACTACATAATACTAAAATCAAACTCAACTTTTATTTTAATTCCCTTGATGGATGAACTCAAACCTTACTGATTTGCCCTTAGGCCTTAGGGCAAGTTTTGGGTTGGCTAGCTAAAGTCCGGTCGTCGAGCAGATAGAATTTCGTACAATGACACCATGCTACCCATCATTCATTCATTCATCGCGACTGTGCGACGGACGGCCCGCAGGGGCCGCGGCCGCCGCGCCGCAGTGACAGCAGCACGCGCGAGCGATATGGGTAGCTTGGGGTCATTGCACAGATTAGAGAGTATGGTCATTGTACGAAATTATATCTACTCGGCGACCGGAACTTTTAGCTAGCTGGACGCGCCCTTAGTTGCAGAAAGAAAATAGGTATTCCAAAATATAATTTAAAATTTGAGATGATTTGTTCTCCTAAATGTGTAGTTGAGCACTACACAATGTAGCGCGCATTTACCGCTGTCAAAATTTGATAGCATTATTAAGTAATTGAACGCTTCCGCGGTCTAATAAATTCGTACAGACAAACGATGACTAGCTAAAGTCCATATCTGTGAGCTAAAGTGACTGAACTTGGCATAGCAGGAACTTCATTGACCGCTGATGTAAGGTATACAAACTTACTACATAGGTAATTATTTACACGAAACAAGGACGGTGAATGTAAGTTAAATATACCACCTACTATGTTCGCTTTATGTTTGCCGCTGTCGATATGACGTCACTCGAAGGGAAGCGTCTATAACTTTAACAAATTATATTTAAAATATTATTTATTTATTATTATTGATAAAAATTGTGTATTTGCGTAAAATAAGACACATTCATCATCATTTCAGCCACAGGACGTCCACTGCTGAACATAGGCCTCCCCCAATGACTTCCACATCGCACGGTTGGTAGCGGCCTGCATCCAGCGCCTTCCTGCTACCTTTATCAGGTCGTCGGTCCACCTTGTGGGTGACAAGACACATTAATCGCGGTTGGGGGAGGGGACGCTCATTCCACGAACCGACAAACTTGGCGCGAACGGGTAGTAGGTACCGTCTTTTTGAAAATCTAGGTAGTCCACGCGTGATATATTGTACGCCTGCTTTAAAAGTCACTACTTAAAGACGATACCTACAATTTTTCATATCTACAACGAGAAAACTCTTAGCCTGCACCCCTCAGCTAATGAAATGATGCCATATGGCCCACAGCAGATAAATGAGCGTTATAAAGACCCAAGGTTGAAGCGAACTTCACCCGAAAACCTCAATCATAAGGGAACTGTTACATTGGACACATAAGTAAGATGGTGGTAGCTAGAGGTGGACTTAGATTAAGCCCATGAGCCCATCCAACCAACCAAATCGAATCGCAGAAAAATTCGCGCGACTTTTCCAACCCCCACTGGGAATCACCAGGAGTCCGGGACCTTTGGATCGGAAGCAGGTGGTCTTACCATACCATTTAGATCACAGAGACGGTTATAAGATGCCAGTGTTTAGATTTATGTGCTGTCGAGTCGACTGTTGTATAACGTAGCGTAGGTAAGGTAAAGGTGTAACGGCCCTCCAAACACTAGTATTGTATAATCTGTGCTCTGACGCTCGGATTCGCATTTGGCGGGCTTGAGTTTCGCGGGTTCGCGCGCTCAACCGGCGCGCTCTTTTCAACGGCCGCTGCGCTTGGTGGTCCGCGAAACTCGACCTTATTGTCCAGTCGCGCCCATCGCCTCGACGCGTGCGAACGAGCTATCGTTTTAATGGTTATAAATTATAAATGTAAATCCGCCATTACAATTGCGCCCAACGAGTGGCCTCGCGTTCTAACTTCGAGAACGTTCGAGAGAAACCACAAGTACCGCGACCCCAGTGAGTCGTGTTGATTGAAAATTGTGTTGAAGTGAGAAAATGCCACCGAAGACACGCCGAGGCACGGCTAAAGATAGTCAAGAAGAGGAGAGATATTATTCCAGCGATGACGAAAACGACGACGCGACTGTGAACGCGGGGCCCGGCGCCGCCATACCCGCCCGCGAAGCTTCGGCGACGACGCCGACTACTACCAGCCGCAACGACGTCATCGGCATCACAGAGGACCAGTTGGCGAGACTGATCACCAATGTCATCAGAGGTTTACCGACTCCGACCCCGGCCGGCGACCTACACGGGACGCCGCCGGCGACTCCGACCCGAGTCACCGACCCCGCGGCAGCGACCGCGACCGCGCCGCAAGGCGGCAACTTCACACGGTGCACCGCACGCTTCGACGGTGCCACCCGGAGCGCCGAGGTACTGGAGGCGTTCATCGAGAACATCGTCGTGTACAAAGAATGCGCCGCAGTGAGTGACGAACACGCGCTGCGCGGCCTCGCCATGTTGCTGACCGGAGACGCCGCCGTGTGGTGGCAGGGCGTACGGACCACCGTGACGACCTGGGACGACGCGATACGCCGGCTACGCTTCATGTACGGCGCCCCTCGTCCCGCCTACCGCGTGTTCCGGGACATTTTCGCCTCGGAACAAGGCGAAGAAAACGCCGATTCGTTTATATCGCGAGTGCGCGCTAATCTCTCGAGATTACCATACAAACTGGATGACGAAGTGCAAGTTGACATCGTGTACGGCCTACTTAATAATGACATTAAGAAATTAGTGCCGCGTAACAATATTGTTAACCTTGATTGTTTACTCGCGCAGGCGAGGTGTGTTGAAGATATTTCGCGTGAATCCAATATCACGATACATGTTAACCCATCCCGTGCTCAGTCTAATTATGTTGACAACAATCATAATAGCACGGCCTCTTCTAGTACGAACACAGCGAAATCTATACGTAATCGTCCACGTTGTAATGTCTGTAAGCGTTTTGGGCACGTCACCGATGAATGTAGATCGAAACCTACACCTGCTAAAGCGAATGTTTCACCA